ATTCATCGTTGTTTTCGGTACTAAATCCCTGCATTTGTTTACATGATCCGCACGCGGAGCATGTATTAAACGGCACTGTAGTGTTTTTTTTCGGGGGGGGGCGGCGGGGCATGAACCGCCCGAGCTCGGAACGTCACGCCCGCGCTGCCGCGGGCTCGTCACGCGCCCGCAGGCTCCACGAAAATCAAGGGCAATTGACTTCTTGGTGCACGCGTAAGCTATCTCTGGCCTCTGCGATGTCAAACTGCGCGCACCTCCATGTGCAATGCTTATTCACGCTGGCCCGTCCTTGGGCTGGTAGCTGAGCCAGAAGCGGGACAAGGACGAGGAGGGAAGGTGAGGCTGAGGATGAGGCTGATCAGTCAGGGTGGGGGAGGGGATAGATGAAGAAAAGGATCAAGGCCTCTTCGTGATCCTCGAAGGTTGCTGACGTCCAGTGCGTTCTCCAACGCTGGCCGGAGATGTTCGGCCACACCCGGAGATGATCGTCGCGCATTTCTCGGCACACCCGGAGTTCGAAAATTAGTGGGGGCGGTGCCCAGCAGCAGATGCTGTCATGAGGGGCAACGATAGGGGGGGACTGGCATAGGGGTGGATGCATCGACCTGGAATCGGCGATACATCGCCGATAGATCGGCGATAGGCCCCCGACAGTGGATCCGCACCTTCCTGGGCAGGTTGGGGCCATCGGGCCCCTATCGGCGATCAATGGGCGATTGGGGGTCGATGCATCCCCCCTATAGGAGACCGATTTCTGACCACACCCACTTCCCGAGGTGCCTTGCGAAAAGCGGTTTCCAGAGGTGGAGGTGGGCAGTTTCCCCGCCCCAGGGGAAGGAACAACTACCCACTTCCACCCCCGAGGGCCCATCATAGGATCGACGATCCAGAGGTGGATGTCGTCAAAATCGGTCTTCGACCCTATGCCTATCCCCCACTATCGTTGCCCCTGAGCAGCAGATGCTGCCACAGGAGCGATGGCGGCAGCTCTCTGGCGGGCGCTGCGCGCTACGCGTGGGCTCAGCTTGCTCGGCGACACCGACACCGACTCCTGCCCGGGCCACGGGCGGGGACTGCGCACCAGCGCCTGGCCTTCGCCACCTTTCCTCCTCCATCCTCCTCCTCCTCCTCCTCCATTCTCCTCCTCCTCCTCCTCCTCCTCCTCCTCCTCCTCCTCCTCTCTCTCCTTTCTCCTCCCCCTCCCCTCCTCCCCCTCCTCCTCCTCCTCCTTCTCCTCCTCCTCCCCCTCCTCCTCCTCCTCCTGCGAACTCCGTCCACACCTCGCTCCTCCCGAGCCGATGCTCGCTCACTGATCATCGCTCAGTGCGCTCGTGTCGGGGATGCGGGAACCCGGTCATCGCGGAGGCGGAGGGCGGGGATGGACGGCCTCGCGTGGCTCCCAGGCCGAGGCCAGCCAGATGGGCTCGGAGGGGACCGGTGGACCCCCGATGCAGTCATGGCACTGCCAGAGGGAGCGCTGGACGAGGAACGCAGGGGCGTGCCTGGCCACGGCGAGCCCCGGCGGCGACTGCGCTCCCTGACCTGGACCTGTGAGGAACGGCCTGAGAGTCAGAGCGCCCCCCGAACCCAACGTGGTCCTTCTTCAGTGCCTCGACTGTGGATCAGACCCCCTCCTTCTGTCCCCCCCCCCCTTCGCTGATTCAAGCTTCGCGCGGCCCGCTCAGCTTCGACCGGAAGAGGTGCGCTCTCGACCCGCGAGTCAAAAAGTGGATCAGACCCCCGTGACATCCCATCCGCTTGGCCTCCGGGCCACAGCTCGGGCCTCGAGGGGCCGTTCGGGGCCATCCCGGCATCCCCGGAGCGCCTGCGACCAGGCGCGGCCGATGGCAACCGCCCCAGGCCCGTCCAGGCCCCGAAAACGTCCTGACGCCTGCGAACTCACAGTGCGACCGGGTTGTGAGTATGCGCGGTAAGTATGGAGGGCCCTTCGACGCCCAACTGGAAGCCGAAGTTGGAGACCCCTGGCCCATGGCTCAAGGGCCAGGGGCGGCCGACAGGCAAAGCTGCAGGAACACCCTCGGGAAATTGCTAAATATATTATGACTCGGTCTGACATCTGGCACTTACTTTTTGTTCGATGCGTCGTTCTTGACGGCTCCAGGGCTCGTTGAGGGCTCCCCGCGTTATGATGTTTCAACCTGCTGTAGCCTTGATCACCAGAATTAATTTCGAGCACAAAGACAATACCCAAACTAGAGGGTTTTCACGTGTCGGGCCCTGGGAGGCGATACACGTTCGGCACTTCGCCAGCGTTTTCAGGTAATCACTGCTTCGATACCTTTCGGGGTGCTCGGAATTACTTCTGGCATGTAGCCCAGAAGTACGATGGGGACAACATAGCCCTGGAGGCCGAAAACTTCCCCGAACCGGCCGCCTCAACTGTTTGGGAACAACCTCGGATCTCTGGGACTGCACCTGCGCGCCGGTCGCCCATTCGCCCTCGGCCCCGCCAGGCCCTGCGCGAGTGCCTGTCGCGCGCGCCCACGCGAGCAGCGGGAGGGGGAGGACGGAGGAGGAGGAGGAGGAGGAGGAGGAGGAGGAGGAAGAGGAGCAGGAGGAGAAGGAGGAGGAGGAGAATGAGAAGCACGAGGAGGTGAAGCACGAGGAGAAAGAACAGGGAGGGAGGAGGAGGAGGAGGAGGAGGAGGAGGAGGAGGAGGAGGAGAAGAATGAGGATGAGGAGGAGGGAAAAGAACAGGAAGAGGAAGGGAAGGAGGAGGAGGAGGGAGGAGGAGGGATCGCAGGAGGAGGAGTAGAAGGAGGCGGATGAGGAACAGCAGGAAGAATGGAAGCAAGGGGAGAAAGAACACAAAGAGGAGGGGAATCAGGAGAAGGAGGAGGAGGAGGAGGAGGAGGAGGAGGAGGAGGAGGAGGAGGAGGAAGGGGAGAAGGGTAATTACGATCGGCGGAGAGCGTGTGTGAAAAACGCCTTTTCCTCTCCTGGACGCTGCTCGGCGAGAAGGTCCGAGTCGAGAGCTTTGAGCACCGTGCGGGCCCTCGACTCGCCCGAGCTTGAACGTCAGTGGCAGCAGAAACGCCAGGAAATGTACGCACATGCTCGGGGGAGAAGGGTACGAGGAATAATGTTAGAGATAACTTCATCAACTCGGGAGGGGGAGAGGGAGGAGGGAACGGAGGAGGAGGAGGAGAAAAAACAGGAAGAGGAGGGGAAGGAAGAGGAGGGCGAGGAGGAGGGAGAAAGAACAGGAAGAGGAGGGGAAGAAGGAGGAGGAGGAGAAAGAAGGAGGTGGAGGACGAGGGGCAGGAGGAGGAAGAACAGGATGAGGAACAGCAGGAAATAACAATAACAGGAAGAGGAGGGGAAGGAGGAGGAGGAAGAACAGGATGAGGAGGGGGATTCTGATGATGACGATGATGATGATGCTGCAGATGATGATGGTGATGGGGATGATGGTGGTGATGGTGATGATGGTGATGATGCTGCTGACGCTTATGCTGATGCTGATGATAATAATGATATTGCGAATAATAATGTTGATGATGACGACGATGATGCGGCTGATTATGATGATGATGATGATGATGATGATGATGATGATGATGATGATGATGATGATGATGGTGCTGATGATGATACTGATGATGATAATGATTATGCTGAAACTAATGATATCGATGATGATGAGAATCAGGGGAGAAAGAACAGGAAGAGTAGGGGAAGGAGAAGTAGGAGGAACAGCGTGAACCCAGGACTCATCGACGATGTTGAAATACACCCTCCTTCCAAGATCCCTCTTCATAGGCCCTTACAGGGGGCCGTTCCCACGGAGGTAATCGCCCCGTTGGGGGGCAAGCATGTGATCATCTTGAAGCGTGCCAAAACACGACTCACAGGACTTCGACGCCACGAGTTTACCTGACTGATACGTCTTGGCGATCGTGAGCCGCGTCAGAACACAATTTCTCGGATGTCCAACACCGCCAATTGTCGCGCCCTGACACTCCTGAACCATTACAAGACATCATTCCAAGTACGGTAGCACGGCAACATGAGATCACAACAAATCTTGCAATTGCTTGAAACTAATTTGCGCGGCGCTAAAGCGAGAACCACATGTCAAAAAAGGACCGCCCTCAACCCTTCAAACTCTTGCAAATTTTAAAGACAAACGTGCGCGGCTCTAGAACGAAAACCACATTTTGAAAACGAACCGCCTTGAACCCGTTAAACTCTTGCAAATATTGAAAACGAATGTGCGCGGCGCTAAAGTGAGCTAGCGCACGCCCTGGAATCCGTGAAACTCTTGCAAATGTTCAGAACGAACGCGCGCGGCGCTAACGCGAGAGCCATATGTATAAAACGAGCCGCCCAGAATCCGTGAAACTCTTGCAAACATTGAAAACGAATGTACGCGGCGCTAATGCCGAAAACCACATTTTGAAAATGGACCGCCCTTACTCCGTGAAACTCTTGAAATTGTCACAATGATGAATAAACGCGGCGCTAAAACGACAAACACATTTTGAAAACCACCAACCCTCAATCCGTGAAGCTCTGGAGAATTTCGAAAACGAACGCGCGCGTTGCTAAGGCGAGAACCGCAGTTTGAAAACCACCTGCCCTGTATCTGTGAACCTGTTGTCAACTGTTGCGTATCAGGATCATAAATGGTGAAGACATCTGAAGCGAAATGCCTGGCCCGCCCTGTCGACCCGCCTCGGGGTGCGACAGGGAGGAATTACTCATAAGGACAGGGAAGGAAAGAGGAGAAAAAAGTGGAAGAGAAGGGGGAGAAGGAGGAGGAGGAGGAGGAGGAGCAGGAGGAGGAGGAGGGGGAGGAGGAGGGGGGGAGGAGGGGGGAGGGAGGAGGAGGAGGAGGAGGAGGAGAAGAGCAGGAGGACCAGGAGGAGGAGGAACAGGAAGAGGAGCAGGAAGAGCAGAAAGAGGAGGAGGAGGAGGAGGGAGAGCGAGGCCCAACCCTGCGCGCGCCCGCCGCGCGCCCGCCGCGCGGGGCCGGCCTCCTCCGCGAGCGCCGCCTCGACCGCGGCGCGCCCCTGCGCGGCGTGCGCGCGCAGCTCCTGCGGCCGCCCGGGGAGGGGGGGGGGCCGCCCGCCCACCGTTGCGGCACGCGGCCCGCCCCGACGGCCGCCCCGCCTGGGGGGCAGCCCGCCCGCCTGGCGTGGCCGGCCCGTGCGGGCCCTCCGCGGACCCCCGGACCGTCAAAACCCGAGTCGGGTTGAAGAGCCGAACCCTTCAGAGAAGATGCCCAGATCCCCAGCGAAGAGGTTGAGCCTGGAGAAGCTTTGAGAAGCCTAATCTTGTCATGCCTTGTTACTTTGAGCCTTGATAAAACTTAATACGTCGATGAGGCATGCTAAGCCTTGTTGAGCCTTGATGAGGGCGCAGTCCACCCCACCCTAGATCAAATCCACCCTACAGCTATTATTTTTCGACCTGGGAACCCACCCGCACCGTTGCCTGCAGGGCCCCGCCCCGTCGGGACCCGGGCCGCACCCCGGCCCGCCGCGCTGGCGCCCGCCCGTTCCAGACCGACGGGGGCGGTCGCCGCGCGGTGCCTCCTCCGCCTCCTGTCCCTTTTCTCCACCTCCATTCGCCCTCTGCATCCTCTCCTGCCCTCCTCCTTCCCCTACTACTCGCCCTCCTGCTCCTTCCCCATCCGCACCTCCTGCTCACCTCCCTGTCCCCACACCCTCCTCCTCCTCCTCCTCCTCCTCCTCCTCCTCCTCCTCCTCCTCCTCCTCCTGCTCCTCCTCCTGCTCCTCCTCCTCCTCTTCTTCCTCTCCTCCTCTTCCTCCTCCTCCTCCTCTCCTCCTCCTCCTCCTCCTCTCCCCCCCCCCCTCCTCCTCGTCCTTGTCCTCGTCCTTGTCCGGCCTCGTCTTCGCCCTCCCATCCTCCTCCTCCTCATCCTGCTCGTCCTTTTCCTCTTGTTTGTGCTCCTCTGTTTGCTCCTCCTCCTCCTCCTCCTCCTCTTCCTCTCCTCCGTTTACCCTGCTTCTTCTTCCTCCTCCTCCTCCTCCTCCTCCTCCTCATCCTCCTCTTGTTTTCCTCCTCCTCCTCCTCTCTCTCCTCCTTGTCCTCCTCTTCTTGTTTCTCTGTATATGTATCCCTCTCTTTCTCTCTCTCTCTCTCTCTCTCACCTTCTCCTCCTGTTCGACCTGTTCCTCCTTGTCCTCCTTTTCCTCCTTTTCCTCCTTGTCCTGCTTCTCCTCCTCCTTCTCCTCATCCTGCTCCTCCTGCTCATCCTGCTCCTCCTCCTCCAGCTCCTCCTGCTCCTCCTGCTCCTCCTGCTCCTCTTGCTCCTCCTGTTCCTCCTGCTCCTGCTCCTGCTCCTGGTCCTGCTCCTGGTCCTCCTCCTCCTCCTCCTCCTCTTCCCCATCCTCCTTCTGCTCCTCCTCGTCTTCCTCCTCCTGCTCCACCTGCTCCTCCCGGTCATCCTGCTCCTCCTGCTCCACCTGCTCATCCTGGTCCTCCTGCTCCTCCTGCTCCTGCTCGTGCTCCTGCTGCTCCTGCTCGTGATCCTGCTCGTGCTCCTCTCCCTCCTCCTCCTCCTCCTCCTACTCCTCCAGCTGCTGTCGCGGCACAACTCCCACTCTTCTTCGCAGCTTCTGGAACCGCCAGGGCACTCCCTTCAGAGGCAGCGATGTGCTCTCCGCCCATGCGGGGCCCGCGCTCTCCGTGAGAGGGAGCGGACCGCACCCGACGCCGCCGCAGGCTCCTCGCCGTGTGCGGCGGCGATAGCGTGGACTATGACGACGATATCGGGTGCGGCCCCTTCCAGATTTTTGCGTGCTGCGACGTACAACCCAATGCATTTGTGTGGAATGCGAGGGGAAGAGGTCTCATCGGAGTTCGGGAACGTGGGGGCGGTCCTATTGCAGGGAACAGGTCGGAGAAAGATGGAGGACGAGCCCCATCGTGTGTTCCGCCACTCACGTCATTATGAATTATCGTTTGGTTTCTCGAGGTCTTCGAACAAATCGTGTGGAACGAGTATCATGCTGCACAGTAAGGTCTTCCCGCAGCGCTGCATTAGACGTATTTTCTGCCCGCCCGTGGAGTTGGAGGGGAGGTGTGGCGCCGTGCGCCTGAAGTCTGGATCCCTTGATGTGTTGTTCGTGACCATGTATTTTCCAGTATACTCGAGCATGCGGGCGGGCCGTGATGAGCAGAAACGGAAGGTAAACAAGATGCTGGCCTGGCTACGAAATCTGTTATTATCCACGGGGGGACGGTGCACTCCCATTGTTGGCATGGACCTGAACGACGGGTTGGGCAGAGCTCGTGAGTTCATTTTCGAGGGCGAGGCTATTCCTGTTGAGGAGGAGGTGGGGGTGAATGCCTGCATCGGTGAATGCGACGCGGACCTCGAGGGCGTCGCGGGCAGTGCTCTTCGTCAGACCATGGGGGACACACATATGTGCGCAATCAACACTTTTTACCCGCTGGGACCTACATTCCACGGTGTGGGCGACTCTTCGTCTCGGATCGACTTCCTGGTGATACCTCAGCAGCTGCGCCCACACGTGGAGAAATGCACGATTCTGCACGGAGCTGGTCGACGACTTCAACCGATCTCGACACTGGACGATCGAGAGCACAGACCCATCTATCTGCAAGTGAAGTACGACTTTCAGGCTCAGTTTTTGGACAGAACGCCGCCATGGGATTTCGATAGGATTATGCGCTCTGTCTCTCAGGGCACCGCGCGCACGGATGCGATCGAGGCCATACACTCGGCAGTCGCGACGATCCCCGAGGACGAATGGATCAGCCTGTGTGCCCGAGCGACACCTGATGAAGTATGGAACTCGATCGTGAGCGTGATGACTACTACGGCGATGGACACCTTCTCAAAGAAATCCGACCTGGAGGCAGAAAAATCAGTATTGGAAAGGGAGCGCTCAGAATTGTTGCAAGCACGGAAGAAGTTCAAGGGCATACACATTGGGAGTCTGGGCTGTTCTGGTATTCTGAGTACTTATGAGGTGGCCCGTCTGGAGCAACGTTTGGAACTGGAACTTCAGCTGGCACGAACTACTTTTCGGATTCGTCGCCTCTCGAAGCTGATCAACAAAGAACGAGAGGCATCATTGACCTTGGAGCTAAACAACGCATGGAAGTCGCACGACCACTACAACGTCCAGAGGCTTATCAGACGACTATCTAGGCGTGGGGCAGGTCCTCGGCACAAGAAGTATGTTGTATTGAAGTCTGAAAATAGTGAAGCTCATGAGATCTCCGCTTTTCTGTGCCGACCTGCGGTCGAGGGTGGCCTCGGTGCTGCGACATGCGACTTGCAAAAGGAATTGTTGGATCGTTTCGAAAGACCTCACTCCGACGGTTGGGATGTCTCCGAGGAGGTTCGCTACAACGCCATGCAGTTGGAGAACATTGCGGACGCTCGTACCGATTTGATGGGCATCGTGCGGCAGCTGAGGCGGGCTCCAAAAAGACGGGCGACTCCGTTTTGGTCTTTACCTTCGGAGCTCTGGCTTCTGCTCCTGGATCCCGCTTGCTGGGAGCAATTTCGTGGTGGTGGAGTGGGGGCGGATCTTCTTCCTGCGACTTCGACGGCGTTTACGGAGCGCTTTTTAGATGTCTTAGCTTGCTTTCGGCGGACAGCGTCCACGCCTTTGATCTTTGATGTATCCTCATGCTGCGGTTCGGACAAGCATAACGGAAAGTTGGGAGCTGAGAGCCAACGTTGGATTCATTTATTCTGCCCGCTGGGCAAGGCGTGGAATTCGCACTTATGGGTCAGAGCACGTCGGCATCGGGATGCACTACCATATGTATGTCATGGGTTTGCTAAAAAGCGCAGACGGGAAGATGCGATTTTAACGCAGTGCTGCACGTCCTGGCGTTTGCAGAGGCAGGGCTACTCGCACGTGATCGTCAACGAAGACGCCACCAACGCGTTCTCCAGCGTATCGCGTGACATCATGCTGGACACACTGCCCCTGCTGTATCTTGAGGAGGACGTCAGGTTTCAACATCATCGTATCATTCAGAGTGCGTGCCAGATTATCACATCGGGCGAAACCATCAGCTTGCGCCCCAGCACGGGCGACTTCATGGGCCATCCAAATGCTGCACGGGGCTTTCCATACTACTACCTGAAGGGGTTGGAGCCGTTCTTTGAAATTCGACAGCGGACGACCTCGTGTTCGATGGCGTTGGTCACCGAGCCGAATGGGGTCTCCACGGACGTGGGCTTGTCATTGTTCGCGGATGATATCACGAAGCATGTTATCCCTGGGCCTGGTCCACCTCCACAGCGTATGGGAGGCGAAGCTCAGCATCTGCTGGCGCTCGCGCGTGTCAGCAGCGATCACTTACAGCGGGCCTTGGCCCAGATCGGAGTCGCCCTCAACCCTGACAAAAGAGTCTCCCTCGTAAAGATCGTCGGTCCTGGATCTCTCGGGCAACGTCGTCTGATCTTCAGCGGGGCCGTGAAAACCAAAGGCAAGGTGGGGAGGTTCATGAGAGTCTTGGGCGGGTGGCTGACCACGAGTGGATCCCTTCAGGTTGAAAAAGTGAAACGCATTCAAGCGGGGCGGGCGGGGCTCGGTAAGATCTCTTTGTTTCTGAGGCACCCCGCAGTCTTGAGCGTGAAGCGCATGGCGGTGATCGCGTTCGTTCAGTCGGCCCTGCTCTCGGGGATGGAGGCACGTATTCCAGATAAGAGTTTTTGTGCTGCAGCTGATCAGGTTTCACCGCAGGCGATGAGGAGGGGAATGGGTATCTTGGGCCTCGGGGAACATGGCGAGCAGGAGCTGCGCCGCTGGTCGGCGGATCGTATGTGTGCCCATTGGCGAATCCTTCCGTGCGAGCAGGAACTTCGTGTCCGTCGGTTGCGTTGGTATCAGAGTTGGAGTAGGTACCCTGAGGCACACCGACAAGCGAGGGCAAGTGTTTTTGGGCGTTTGGGCGACGGGGAGGTGATCACGTCTTCCTGGACTCTGACGGAAAATGCGAATCCCTGGGCCCTTCAGGTTCTGGACGATCTACGTATCGGTTTCGACGGCTCCGAGGAGCTCCAGGATTTGCTGCCGTCTGGGTACCCTCTCTTGAAGCTCCTGTTCGATCAAGAGTTTGACAAGTGGGTCGGCATCGATTTCTCGATCCTGAGGGCGAAAGCTTTCTCGAGGGCGGTCCCTCCTCCTGGATTCGGCTCGCCGTTCCCCCTGGAGCTCGTGGGCGTGGAGGTGGAGTGGTCAGGGCCCTTCCAGTGCAATCTGTCGTCGGCGGTGGGCGGGGTCTGCGGGGAGCGTTTCGAGTCTTTGAAGAAACTGCTGCTTCATGCAGGTCGGGTGCACGCTGTGAGGAATGAGGCTAGCTTGCTCACTGTCACCAACCAATGCTTTCGGTGTCTGCAAGCGCTTGCCTCTCGGGAGAACGCGGCACGCCACGTGATGCGGTCCTATCAACGCAACAGGTGTGCTCTGGGTCGAAGTTCGTATACGCAGTGCGAAGTCATCCAGCCCCCGTTGCTCACCTGCCCCGTATGCAGTTACTTGGCTCGAGATCTTCATTCGCTTCAACTTCACATACGTTCCCACTGTTCGCTGCCTGCCCCGACGTTGTCTCGCCGTCGGCTTCAGCATGTCCGCCGCTATGAACCTGGACGAGCTGCTGCGGGGGCACAAGGAAAAGGCGCAGTCTCCACCCGACGGCGAGGGTCAGGCAAGGAAAAAAGGGCGAGTTGGTACGATGGCCGACGACGCCGACGACGAGCTGGCAAAAGTGGAGGGGGCCTTGAAGGCCAAGGACCTGCAGCAAGCGGTCAGCATCCTCTTGAAGATGGCGTGCATGCACGCCCAGATGTTGCGGGACTTGGCGGCGTCGGAGTGGATCTCAGTCGTGGCCCCAGTCGAGTGCCCGCCCATCGTTGCGTCCAGGGCTGCAGGGAAAAAGTACGCCGAAGTGACCGCCATCCAGGAGCTGAAAACGAAAGTGGGCCCTCCACATTTGTACATCGCACAAGCCGCGTTCAAATCATTGAGCGAGGACGACAAGGTTCGCACGCTGCTGGAGCCGCATCAAGTTTTGAAGGCTTTCTACGAGCAGTTCATCTCGAAAGCAACGACGGACGAGTTGGGATTGGTCATTCGCCACTTCCGAGTGAGGAAATGCTACAACGAGAAGTTCGTGCGCCTGCAGTTCAGCATCGCGGAGGGTTTCCAGATCGGGATGGGCGAGAACCAGCCTGCCGTGACGAAGCTGTCCCTGGAGCAGGCCACGATCAAGGCGCTGGTGCACCTCGACGGTCGTCTCAAGCTCGGCACGGCACCGGTGGGCCACCTGGAACTGATGGCCCAGAAGCTACTGGATCGCTCGAAGCCCAAGGATCAGCGCGGGAAAGCTCGTGGGAGTCTCGCTTGATGGCACTACGGGAACGGATTCGTATCAGAGAGCTGGCGGCGTGCTCATCGGGGGCACCTTCATAATTGTGGGCAGGGCTGGTCAGAACGCGCCACCCGCGGGGTGTGCTCAGAGTCGCCACTGGCCCTTCGTCCTGTCCAGGGGGCTTGGGCTGGAGTTCGCTCGCTCTTGCCCACCTCATGCGGCAGGGCGGGGGTCAGGTTTTGCTGCCTCGAAGGCCCGCGCCGCTCGTCGCCTATTCCATACTACTTCTGTGTTCACGGTGTGACTTGGTCTGACGGGTGGACTACTCTATGGGCGTCTACATACCTGACCAATGTTGATTTCGTGAACTCGTTCAATGTGAACACGTTCATAGTCCAAATCTTCTTCTTCGACGGGGTCGTCGCCACCCCCTGAGCCCGATGAGCCTCGCCTCGCCGTACTTCGAGGCACCGTGCCGCCACCGTCCTCCATCTGGTCTTCCCTCCGTGTAGTTTCCTTTCAGAGGATCGGTGGCGTTTTTGATTTTGTGGGCCCACTCCCCCCTCCGTTGCTGTGCTGCTTGCCCGCTCTCCCTCTGCTTTGTCCTCGCCCCCTCCTTCGTTCTTTCTCGTCCTCTCTGTCGCCTCTCTTGCCCCGTCGTTCCTCTCGCGTCCGTCGTGTGCCTGCTGGGGAGTGGGCCCGAATTCGGGAGGGCTCGGGCGCTCCAGGGGCCATCCTGGGGCCCGCCGTCCTGGAGGTACGGCTCCTGCGGAGCCCGAGAGGTCGCTCGCCTCCCGCTCGCATGGGTTTCACTGTTTGCGATCGGTCTCGCACTCGTTCGAATGCTGGGCTGCACGGTGCGCTTTACCCTGACCTCGAGTGTTATCTCGTTCGTTCGACTGTCAGAGGTTCTTTGTTGTAGATTATCGAATCAGCAGCAGCAGGCATGAGACTTCAGACATGCAGCGCAAGGCCGAGTCTTCTTCTTCTTCTTCTTCTTCCTCCTCCTCCTCCTCCTGCATCTCCTCCTCCTCCTACTTCTCCTCCTCCTCCTCTTCCTCCTCCTCCTCCTCCTCGTCCTCCTCCTCGTCCTCCTTCTCCTCCTCCTCCTTTCTCCTCCTCCTCCTCCTCCTGCTCCTCTCCCCTCGTGCCCACTTGCGCATCCCCACGGCGCTGGCGGCGGCGACGGCCACGACGCGGCCGCGCGACGCGACGCGCGGCTCCGCGGCCAGGGTCTCCGAGGCGCTGAGCGCCTGCCGCAGCGGAGCGGGGCGGGCGGGGGGGAAATGGAGGCGGCCCGACCGCGGCAGGTCCCAGCGCACATCCTGGGCACAGGATCGATGCGCAGCCTCCCTTCTGGCCCAGCCAGGAGGGCGCATGCACCGATCCAAGCCCAGCTGGGATGGGCCCGGCATCAAAAGTGGGTGGAGCAGACGCACATGCATACATGCATACAGTCATGCACATGCACATGCGAACGCAGAAACATGCCATACGCAATATGTCATAACACGCACCTACACACACCTACACACAGACACAGACACAGACACAGACACAAACACAGACACAGACACAGACACAGACACAGACACAGACACAGACACAGACACAGACACAGACACAGACACAGACACAGACACAGACACAGACACAGACACAGACACAGACACACACACACACACACACACACACACACACACACACACACACACACACACACACACACACGCGAACGCACGCAGCCAGTTGTGCGGTGTCTTGCGCGGGTCAGACGCCCTCTGGCGTAGCTCTTGTTGGACTGGGCCCTGCGTGGCCCCGGTTGCGCGGGCAGGCCCTCATGTGCAGCCGGAGGCCAGGCCAGAAGCTGGCCGAAGGCTGAGCCGCGCAGAAGGCATCATTCCAGGTCCGACTTGCGGAACTCGCTGGGCGGGGGCTGAACCGTGCAGAACGGACCACTAAAGATCTCGGATTTGCGCAGCTAGTTGGTCGGGGGCTGAGCCGCGCAAAACGGACCACTTACGGTCGGAGTTGCGATGCTCTCTGGGGGGAGGGCGAACAATTTACCATAAACGTTGAAAATTAACGCAACGGGCTTGGCCGGGGCCGAGCCCCGCAAAACGGACTCCTCCAGGCCCGCGTTGCGCAGCCACATGGGCGTGGGCTGATTGCGCAAAACGGGTCACCAATGGCCAACCAAACTTGCGCATGTGGCCGGGCGGGGGCTGAGCCAAGCAAAAAGCGCCACTTGCGATCCAAACTGCGCCGCTAGCTCGGCGGGGGCCGGCTAGCCGGGCGGGGGCCGAGCCGCGCATACCGGACCACTGCCGGTCCGATTTGCTCAGCTAGCTGGGTGGCAAGGTCTGAGCCGCGAAACGGGCGCGCGCAGCTAACTGGGCCAGGGCCGAGCCGCGCAACACTGACCACTGACGATCAGTCTTGCGCGGCTACTTACGGGGGGGGGCGAGCAGCGCAACACGCGCCGTTCAAGGTCAGATTTGCGCAGCTGGCTGGGCGGGGGCTGAACCGCGCAAAACGGACCACTAAAGATCGGATTTGCGCAGATAACTGGGCGGGGGCTGAGCCGCGCAAAACGGGCCACTGACAGCCCGAATTGCGCAGCTAGCTGGGCGGGGGCCGAGACGCGCAAAACGGGCCACACCACGTCCGAGTTGCGCAGCGGGGCCGGGGGGTGAGCCCCCCAACGGGCCGCTAACGGTCTAGCTGGGCGGGGGCTGAGCCGCGCAAAACGGGCCACTGACAGCCCGAATTGCGCAGCTAACTGGGCGGGGGCTGAGCCGCGCAAAACAAACCACTGGCGGCCCAATTTGTCCAGCTGGGGGCGGCGCCGCGCAAAACGGACCAGTCGCGCTTCAGAAACCTTCGGTTTCGGAAGAATTTCAAAATCGAGCTTCCAAACAACATACAAAAACACACGGTTTCGCAACACGGATTTGTCTAAAAAGGCTTACGCGCGCGCTCTTGCCAAATCTTAGGACACCATAGCCTGTTCAAGATTATAAAAAAAAACCTACCAAACGGGCTTGGCGCGCGCGCATGTCGAAATCGCTCGAGCGCCCTTGCGCGCGTGCCGTCGCGAGAATATTCTGCAACAAAGGGGACGAAGTGCACGCGTGCGCGTCGTCGCCCGCGCATGCCGAAATCAATTAAAGAACCTGCGGTTCCTGCCAGATTTCAAAATCGAGTGTCCAAAAAACATACAAAACACAGGGTTCCGCAACACGGATGTTGAAAAAAAGTGTGCGCGCGCGCTCTTGTGTCGTCGTCGTCGACGCCGCCCTCCCTCCTCCCTAGTCGTCGTCGTCGTCGTCGTCGTCGTCGTCGTCCTCTGTCTTTCCTAGTCGTCGTCGTCCTCCGTGGCGTCGTCGTCGTTTCCGTCGTCGTTGTCGCCGTGGTCGTCCTTCCTCCTCCCTCGTCGTCGTCGTCGTCCGTCGTCGGCGTCTCGTCGACGTCCCTCCTATTTCGTCGCCGTCGTCGTCGTTGTCGTCGTCGTTTTCCCTCCTCCCTCGTCGTTGTCGTCTGCGGCGTCGCCGTCCTCCCTCCTTTTTCGTCGGTCGCGTCGTTGCCGCCCTCCCTTTTCCCTCATCGTTGTCGTCGTTGCCGCCGTCGTCGTCCTCCCTTCTCCCGCGTCGTCGTCGTAGTCTTACTTGGCGACGTTGTCGTCGTCGTCGTCGTCTTCGTCATCGTCCTCGTCGGCATCGTCGTCGGCGTCGTCGTCGTCGGCGTCGTCGTCGTCGTCGGCGTCGTCGTCGTCGTCGTCGGCGTCGGCGTCGTCGTCGTCGGTGTCGTCGGTGTCGTCGTCGTAGTCGTCGTCGTTGTCGTGGTCGACGAAGTCGTCGGAGTCGTTGTCGGTGTCGTCGTCGTTGTCGTGGTCGTCGAAGTCGTCGGAATCGTTGTCGGTGTCGTCGTCGTCGTCGGCGTCGTCGTTGTCGCTGTCGTCGTCGTCGGTGTCGCTGCCACGTGCAATTTGGTACCTACCGTCACGGTCTTAAGGAGTCTTGCGACCAAGTTGCGGGTGGGAGGGCGGGATGCTTGCACGAGCAATGGAAAGGACAGCTTCAGGACAGCTTCAAGACAGTCAAAGTGAATTGCACCACATAGGTGGCATCACAGAGGTTACACCTCCTAGATCTCGCCACATCGGCTTCACATCATATCTTCCACATCGTAGATTGCACAGTATAGACTGCGCAACATAAGTTGCACCACGTATGTTGCAACACATATAGTTCCATAGCACCAAACAAATTGTTAAGAACACACTGTTTGGAAAAGCATATTGGCTAAAATCAGAACTTAATGCTCCTTTGACGAAGCGCCCTGCCCCCTTCTGCTCCCCGCCAGCCGATACATATATATATATATATATATATATACATGTATATATATATATATATATATATATATATATGCGGGCTTGAGCCGCACAGCCCCCCCGCGCCCGGGGAGGCAATGCAACGCGTTAGCCATTGGGGCGCGAATGGGATGTCACGGCCCGCTTCCCATGTATATACATACATATACATACATATATGTTTGTACATATATATATATGTGAATATATATATATATATATATATATATATATATATGTAGGTTCGTATATTTACCTCACAGCGAAGACTGATAGGCTTCTAATGGGGTCAAAAGAGAGCATCTGATGACTCCCCTGGGGAGTCTGGGCGGGAGCCGGACAGGCGAGGGCCGGGCTCGCTTTAAGCAAAGAGTCACACACTTCGTCCTCTTCGACCTCGCAAAACTCCATTCCCGGGCCACATTTTGAATGCCCGGAGCCAACTGTAGGCCACTTCGTGTTCTTGGACTTCCCAGAACTCCATTCCCGGGCCACATTTTGGATGCCCGGAGCCAACTGTAGGCCACTTTGTGCTCTTCGACTTCCCAGAACTCCATTCACGGGCCACATTTTGGGCTCGGAGCCAACTGTAGCCCACTTCGTGTTCTTGGACTTTCCAGAACACCATTCCCGGGCCACATTTTGAATGCCCCGAGCCAACTGCAGGCCACTTCGTGCTCTTCCACTTCCCAGAACTCCACTCCCGGGCTACATTTGAAATGCCCGGAGCCAACTGTACGCCACTTCGTGCTCTTCCACTTCCAAGACTTCCAAGACTCATCATCTTCATCATCATCATCGTCCCCGTAGCCTTCTTGGCTACAGCCCTGCTTTCGAAGATTTCGTTTCAAAGGAACTGCGCAGCGCCTACTGCACGCCTTCATGCCAGGACACGCTGATAGTTCTCGGTCTGGCGGCGGTGCTCCTGGCCCTGCTGCGTTGAACAGCGGTGCTCCTCAGCCTGCGGCAGGGAACAACGCTGCTCGTCAGCGTGCTGCATTGAGCGGTCCTCTGCAAACGCTTGTCGAGCACGTGATGCAGTTCGGCCGGATACCGAAGCGAAATAAAGGAACGTCCGAACAAGAACGGGCCGAAAACAAGTTGGCCAAACGTTTCTCGGACCATCGCGACCGCATCCCCAAATACATGTTGCATGAACTGCGGCAGGCATTTCTTCGACTTCGTTCGCACAGACGGCTCCGCCATGCGCCTGCATTACCACAAGAACGGCCGACCCGATGAGCCCACCTATGTCGGTCCACCGCGCGCCGTTGCTCAGCCTGCGGTGCCTGGGCCTGCCGCTACTCAGCCTGGTGTACCGGGTGGCAGCGCTGCTCAGCCTGCCATGCCTAGCGGTGGCGCTGCTCAGCCTGCCGTGCCTGGCGGTGATGCCCCACTGCTCTTCACACTGGAGCACCTGCAAGAGGCCGCCCGCTCGCGCCAGACTGTGGGCCGCGACGAAGCGAGCGCCGCTCTCCAAACGCTGTTGCACTACCACCATGGCGAGACTGCCCCAGGTGCTGTTGACATCACCGCTGGCTCAACGTTTGACTGGCTTCGATGGGTGGCGCAGATCGAGGGTGCGCGCGACGTCATCCGGAATGGCGTCCACAGGGTCTACGTTGTCCGCTGGAATCCGCACTGGGCCCCAGAGGCCGTCTTCTGCTACGGCAACAACACGCGCAGCACACTGGTGCCTCGCAACGCGCGATACATTGGCTCATGGAGCCACGCGCGCATTGTCATTCACCGACAGGCCAATTGGGTGACCGA